AGAAAAAAGTAACAGAACTAATGCTTTCATAGCATGCATATTTCTTACGTAAGAGCAGCTGAAGATTCTTTATTCTAGAAGATGCTGATAATGGGGCACACTTGATGAAACAAATGCAAATGGAAGGGCCGAGATGCGTGGTTCTTGAAGGCCAATTCTACTGTTCCACTGTTGTATTTGTAGAAGAAAAGTTTAAGGACAAATTTTATTCAAATGACTATAAAGCACCAAGTGCAAGCAAAATGAGAGAGAGAAAGAGAAAGAGAAAGAGAGAGAGATTAAAATAAGACTTCCTGGAAAATGTTCAGAAAATACTTTCTTCAATTCATAATCAAAACTTCCATTTGTGTGACTGCTTCAACCAAACTGTATTATCTATCATCCAGAAACCACGAAGACTAGGATTCCAAATAAAGATGAATCTTTACCCTAGGCTATTTCTAGTAAACAGAAGAAAAGTTTTAACGAATTTGTGGCAGCATGAGCACTCATACAGTATCTTGTAATGGCAGGATTAACCAGGTGCTATCTGCTATTCCCCTGCTTCCCTAAGTGAAAGTGAGAATCTACTGGCATACTCTTCACACAGGATTATGTCGCCTCAGTTCCTTGAAGTTAGGCATAGCTAGCTACTTGACTAGTTTTAGCTAATGAAGCATTAGTGGAAGTAATATTGCCTATCTGGGCTATTACACTTCACTGCCAATGGCAGATTCCCAAGTCTCCTCCCCTACCTTGATGAACAGTGAGCCTCCTCTGGAACTGTGGACAGGACAAAAATCAGCTTCCATTCACTTGCTACCTTTCCACCTATGCATCCCATGTCATGATGGATGTAGTGCAAGCAAATCATAAATGTTTGTCATTTAAATCCATTGGATTTTGGGGTTTTCAAAGCATACAGTAGCTTGTCCTGGGGTGAAATTTAGTATCAGAAATATAAAGTGCAATAACCCCAGAAGCAAACTATCAGCATACACTGATGATGATAAATATTCATGCATTCAACACTAAACCTTAATATTTTTTGATTTTTTTAATTTTTATTTTAGAGTGTTATGCCTGCAAGTATATAATAAGTGCACTCATATGCAGTGCCCCCAGAGGACAGAAGAGAGCGTCAGATCCCCCAGAACTGGAGTTATGGATGGTTGTTAGCCACCATGTGGGTACTGGGATTCAAACCCAAGTCTGCAAGAGCGGCCATTGCTCTCAACCGCTGAGCCCTCTCTCCAGCCTCTAAATCTTAAATATTTGAATACTAACATTTTCACTGAAAAATAAGAATTATATATCTTTACAGTATATAGCATGTTTTGAAATATGAATACAGTATTCAATGACAGACTGAACACCAATATTTAAATTAAAATTGTAGCATTATAAAAAACCTTCCTTTCTAATTTTATAGTTCATGCATGTTCTTTTTATCTCCTAAATTTCTTTTTTGTTGTTTTGTTTTGGGGTTTTGTTGTTTGTTTATTTATTTTGAGACAGGGTCTCTCTGCAGCCCCAGCTGGCCTGGAACTCACGATGAAGATCAGGCTGGCCTCAATCTCACAGATATCCTCCTGCTTCTGCCTCCTGACTGCTGGGATTAAAGGTGGTGCCAAGGCACCCAACTGAAAGTTTCTTATAAGATAGTGATAGGTTTTTTTCAGTCACATATTAATTTTTAATATGCAGCTATTTGTAATCAGCTAAAACACATTTTATATCCCTCAAAAAATAATGTGCTAAATATTAGGAATTAGGAGGGCTTTTGTTTATTGGTCTTTTTGACACAGGGTCTCGCTGTAACCCCAGCCAGCCTGGAACTCACTATGTAGACCAGGCTGACCTTGAACTCATAGAAATCTGTCTATCTCTGCCTCCCGAGTGCTGGGAGCAATTAGGAGTTTTAAACTGAGAACTCTCTCCCAGGTTTTCTAACACTAAATGAAAATTATATGAATAAAATCTTGGCTATGTGTCCATTACTTAAAACAAATTACATGACAGAAATTTGAAATGCTTTGCAAATATTAAGTCACAAATTTATTCTGCTGAAGAATACCTTGCTAGGCGATTTAGAAATCAGGCTCTTTGAGGTCATTTTGCATCGTCCATCTCGCCTCTTCCGCTGCCACCAGCTGGCTTCCACTACTGTTGAATTCCAGCAACCAGCAGGATTCAATTCAGTGCTTTGTTTTGACTGCTGTGTTCCTGATGGGAACACCAACTCAGCAGAATAACTAAATTTTTAGGCTGAGAACAGAAAAGCACAGCCAATTCATTTCCTTTGCTTCAGAGGTTATCTGGTAGCCACACAGAAGTAGGTACTTCGCCCAGCAAGTGGCCCAGACAAAGACTCAGGCTAACAAAAGAGAAACCATTTCAATTGTTAAGTTAATAGTCTCCTCCCTGGGAAGAAAGCTTTTAAAAACTTCAGGGCCGTTATGTAAGAGCAAAGGTCAAATCAAACTTCACAGTGTACCGAGTCCTAGCACACACTTCAGAAGTACAAATTGGATAGATATACACAAAATATTCAAAAATAAAATTTAAAGAAAATTTCATTTGTGTTTATTTGGTTTTGTGAGTTTTTGAACAGTAAATATATTTTAATATTTTGTTTTAGCCAATGTTTGTCATCTTCTGTCAGAGGGATGAAAAGATTTAAAATACAGAACTATTTAAAATTTACAAAAGCATAAAAGAAACAAATAAGCTTCCAAGTAGTTTTCTTTTGCAAGTTTCTAGCATTCAAACTTCAGAAATTCCCAAAGGTTAAAAACAACACTAAGGGGGCTGAAGATATGGCTCAGCAGTGGACCCAGGTTGGAATCCCAGTACCCACGTGGCTACTAACAACGGTCTGTAACTCCAGTTCCAGGGGATCTGACACCCTAGTCTGACCTCCTTGGGCACTGTACAACATGATTGCACTTATATGTATGCAGGCAATACACTCATACTCATAAAATAAAAATTAATTACAATAAAAAAAACTCTAAGCTTCATTGTACCATATATGGAAAATTGTAGAATCACAGGGTGCTTGAATGGAAACATCTGTAATTTATATACAACTACAATAAAAGAAAATTGAAGGCATTTATAACACACATACACATGTATGCAAAGATAGGCAAAATAGGGTCATTTTTTGAAGCCAGAGAGACATGTACATAAATGATTGCAACATTAGAAAAGAGGAGGCAAATTAGTACCAACGTGTGTAAAACGGGCTTCTGGTTGAACTGTACTTTGATAGGGGTGGACAGTGCATTTCTGTTTGGTATAATTGTTCTTAAGGCAGTGAAACAGGTTGGGAACGCTGCAAGAGACAAAAGGCAAAAATAACAAGAAAATAAAACAAAGCAACCTCTCTGGGCCCTTAGCTGGTCCCCAGTTAAAAGCATGGTGTGTTTGGTCTTCTGATTCCATGCTTGTGTTATAGTGGCAGGAAGCCCCTTAAGACAAAATTATTCAAAGAGAGTAAGAATCTCTGGCCTGCTATGGACCTGAGGCCAGATGAGGTCAGACAACTCACAGGTTATGGGAGAAAGCCTAATACTCTGCTAAATAGTTACTAGTGTTAAACTGACTCCTAACGACTTATTTTTACACCCATAAACTAATGTGTTTCTCAACTCTCAGCAGAGAAACTTCCTTAAACAGCTCAAAGCCCTGGATCCTTACCTCTGGAGATTAATTAGTTTGGTAGGTCTAAACATTTGCTGCACTGTGTCATGATTGAGTTTTAAAAGTGCACATGTGGGACTGAAGGGCTGGCTCAGTGGCTAATACTGCCCTTGCAGAACACCGAAGTTCAGTTTCCAGCACCCACAGTGGGTGGCTCATATCCTGGAACTCCAGCTTCAGGGGATCTGACACCTCTGGCCTCTGTGGGCACCTAAACTCATGTGCACATACCCACACAAGACACACACACACACACACACACACACACACACACACACCATAATTTGAAATAATAAAAATAAATCTTTTTTTAAGTACAGATGCTTAAGTCCCACAGAGTTTCTGATTTAATTGGTCTGTGCTACAAATAAGTATCCAGAAATTTAAAGCCCCTGGTAATGTTAATGTGCAAGCAAGGTTGAGAAGTATGGCTCTAGCTCAATATATATTCATGTATTGATATATAAATGTAAAAATATGGGCAAAAGTTCAAAGCTCCAATTTTAAAAATTACATTTAGGGGATTGAAGAGATGGTTCAGAAGTTAAGAGCACCTACGTGGTGGCGCACAACTGTCTGCAGGTACTTGATGCACATACATAGACAAACACACAAACATATAAACTAAAATATAATTTTAAGCATGTTTAAAATTACATGTATTATATTTGTGTGTGTAGGTTTGAGGACAACTTGGAGTTGGTTCCCTGTCATCATGTAGGACCTGGGGATTAAACTCGAGTCACCATTTGCCAGTAAGCACCTTTACCTGCTGAACCCTCTTGCTGGCCCCAGTTTCAAATTTTAACATTAACACCAATCTCAAATTTTATAAAGTTTTTCTTTTTTTTAAATTAACGAACAAGGATAATTCTTTTTTTAATATTGAATGAAATAAACCCGGTTTAAGTGGTTTAACAGAAAACGCGATGGCGGCGGACGGAGATAACCTGGGACGCTAGAAGGAAATTCCTGAGATGGAAATGTTATGTATTTGGATTATGGTATACGGATATAATGCGGTTATCAAAACTCGGCAACGAGGAGTTGAAATCTCTTATCACGATACCGCCGTATGAAAACGGAACCTGTAAAAATAAATGCAATAAACTTGTGTGGGCATCATTATTATTTTTTAAAATGAATAAAAATTTAAAATAAACTTTAAAATAGTTATTTTATTATAATTACTATAATTACTTTTGATGACTCCAAATCTCCGCTAAACTAAAAACACAGCAAATCCCTGAAGAGAATCAGTGAGAAGGGAAAGTACACAGTGGAAGGCCAAAACCTAAGGCATCATTAAACACTGGCGGCCAAACGCGGGCTTTTTCTATCTAGCACGGAGTCCGAGTGCCCCAAGGAAACTAGTCCCCGTGCCTTTTTCCGGCACGCGAATAACCGTCATTGTGTGTTAACGGAAAGGGTCCGGCGGGAAACTTTGGCACCGCGGCGAAGGAGCCGGCAGAACTTGGTTCCCGCGCGGATGCTGGGGCTGTGAGGCGTTGTGAGGTGGATCTGTTGCGGATCTCAGAAGGACGCTGGGGCTTGTCTTCCTCCGCTGCCGCTATGATTCCGGTGTCGCTGCTGCTGGTGGTGGTGGGTGGTTGGACTGCCATCTACCTGACCGACTTGGTGTTGAAGGTGAGGGCCTGGGGCCTAGGGGCCTAGCCCGCGGCGCCCAGCGCTGAGGCTCGGGGTCCTGGATGCCCGAGGCCTACCGTCTTCCCCTGCCCAGCGCCTCTGGGGTCCGTAGCGTCCACGTGCGACCTTCCGCGTGGCGCGGCCGCGCGGCGGAGTAAAGCACGGCAGGCTGAGGGAGGGGTGTGGCGGCCCGCGCGGCTGCCGCATTGCGGGTAACAGGTCCTTACAGCCCCTGGCTCCTGTCCGGGAGGCTCGGATGGTGGCCTTGGGAGGCAGGACTCGAAAGAGGGAAGACAGAAAACGCGCTCAGGAAAAGCTATTGTTTTCCTTCATTGTTTTAAGCTTGCGACCCTAGAGACGCTGGTATTGGAATGAATCGAAATCGAGTCGTGATTGAAATCACCGGTGTTAAACTCGAAAGCGCCTAAGAGCTTCTGAGGTTCCGGGTAAAATGCAGATTCTGATTCGGCAGGGCCTGGAGGAAGACTAAGAGTCTGTATTTCCAGCCAGTTCCTCAGTGCTCCCGTTGGCGCTGACCTGAGAGCGCTGACCCACAGACCAAGCTACAAAGAAGCAAGCTTAAGAAGAAAGGATTTAGATAATCACTTTTCCAACTACTAGAATTCTAATGTACACCCTACACTCATTCCTTCACACTAACACACACGCACCCTGAAGAAGTGTACAGTCCGTTTTTGAGTGTGCTGGGTGTTGAAATCGTAGGGAGAAATTTCAACAGTTGTCTGACTGCATGCTTCAGGCAATCTTTAGAATGGAATAGGGGTGCAGAAGGGAGTAACTCCGTGTGTGGAATAAGAGAATATAAATTCTCAAGGGTTTAAAATTTGCAGCTATGAATAGTAAAACCTTCGTGTTTCAGGTGTTTTAAGCAATACTGTATAGAAGCTATAACAGTGAAATGATGCCTGTGCTTTGTTGTATTTAAACTTGGCAAGTGCAAGATGTATACAATGTAGCAGGCGTGCTAGGCTGTGCCACTTCCCAGCTTTTGTGACCTTGGGCAAATTGTTACCTTTGCCTTCATTTTTCATTTTTATATAGGGATAACAAGAAGGATCTGAAATAATAGAGAGAATTGTTAATAGTGCATCTGCACAAAGGCGTGCTACTCAATCTCAGGTTCAAAAACCAATAAATAGCTCTTGGATGCACCAGGAACGTGTTAGGAAGGCAGAGCCACTGACCTATAGAATCAGAATCTGCTTTGTAAGATCTCTAGGTGATGTCTTTGCGTGTTTGTGTTTAAGAAGCACTGGTGCAAGGGGCTTTGCATAGTGCTTAGCATGTCATAAACACTACAGGACATGGTGATTTGTTGATTGGGTTAAAATTTTTTCATGTTGCATATGTGGGAAAGAAAATCCAAAGTAAAAAGAACTCATCAGTCAGTCTCTGGTCAAGTTCACTTCAATTTCTGTGGCAACCTCTGTCTCCACCCCCAAGGAGCACTAACTCCTGAGCAAAAGCCCTAACTGATTCAGAGTATCTGGGGAATGGAGAGACTGTTTTGTTTTGTTTTGTTTTGCTTTGTTTTGTTTTGTTTTTTTCTTTTGTTTGAAAATGGGCCTCCCTGTGGCCCCCAACTGGCCTGGAAAGACCTTGACTTTTGAGAGTCTTCATCTTCTCTCCTTCCAACCTGGTCAGTTAGTCCCACTTTTGATTTTTATACCTTTCCACAGTAGGCATCTGCTGAACACATGTGTCCCTCTACTTTTGAAGTCATGGAAAACAAGCAGTTTGGAAATGCCATCAGAAGATAGAGCAGAGGCAGTTAACAGATAAAAACAAATACTGGTATTCAGACTCAGGTGATTTCTTTATGATTGTAAAAGAGCTAAAATAGCCTTCTGGGACAAATGAGCTCATATAGGTGGGCACCAATTATAATAATACTTCCAATGCTTACTGTAACTGCTTTAATGTTCTCTATAGACCTATATGCGCCCAGGACTTCAAACTTTCCAAAAGATAAAAAGCCCTTCCTGTGGCTATTTATAAACTGCTGTCACCACTACCCCTGAGGGAATGTAAGACCTGTTACTGAGATCAAGATGACATTAGTTAAAGTTTGGACTTTTGTCAAAGTTGGTTTAACTTAAGGCTGGTGTAGAAAAAAATAGAAAACACTGATCCCATTGAAGCTAGCTCTTCTGCTGAATCCACTAGGAGTCTAGGAAGTATAACATAAGACTGCTTCCTTTTCTGCCGCAACAAGATGGCCTGTGCTGTCCAGTGAGGTGTTATTAGCTGTATGTGACTATCAAGCACTTGAAATAGAGCCAAGTCTGAATAGAGATGTGCCACGAGTGTAATGTTGACACCACATTTCAACAACTGGGAAGAACAAGTGTCTCAATGTTTTTATGTTGATTACACATTAAAATAATAGCTTGAGTATTATAGCTTACAAATAGATGAAAATGAGGACAGGTTTTTAGTTCCAGAACTTTGGAGGCAGAGGCAGGTAGATGAGTCTCTATGAATTTGAGGCCAGCCTGGCCTACATAGTGAGTTCCAGGCCAGACAGAGCTACATAGTGAGACCTTGTCTCAAAAAAACAAAACCAAAAAAAATATGAAAATGAATCTCTCTGTTTCCTTTCTAAAATGTGGCTGCCAGACAATTTAAAATTACATATGTGGCTTGCATTTGTGATTCACATATTTCTTTTGGGCATTATGGTTCTAAGCAGATGTCAAGAAATTTTTGTCCATAAAGGGCTGAAATAGTATTTTAGGACCTAGAAGTCACACAGCATCTCTGTTACATATCATTGTTTTTGTTGTCTGTTTGGCGTAGGTTGGGGGGCCTCTGTGTAGGTCTGGCTGGCCCAAGAGTCACTATGTAGACCAGGCTGACTTTGAACATGCAGTGATCCTCCTGCCTTTCCTTTCCCAGGGGACTGGAATTACAGGTGCATTCCGGGGTGACTGCCAATCTTGTCAACTTGATGAGATTTAGAATCACCATAAAAACAGTTCTCTGGGCAAGTCTGCAAGGGATTATCAAGATTAGGTTAATTCAGAGTAAAGATCGTCCCTAAATGTGGGCAGTACCATTCCCATGGGCTGGGGTCCTGGCCTGGATAAAAAGTAGAAAGCAGCTGGGTACAACATTCATCTCTCTGCCTCTAACTGTGAATGCAGTGGGACCTGCAGCCTTCAGCTCCTGTCACCCTGGCTTTCCCTCCGTGATGGGCTATGCCCTTGAACTGTGAGCCAAAGTAAACCCTTCCTGAAGTTGCCTTTTTGTCAGATATTTTGTCACAGCACCTAGACAAGAAGCAAAAGGGCCACCATTCCTAGCTGTTGTCTCATTTTGTAATCCTTTAAAAATTGGGTTCCATGGTAATTCTGGTTTTTTATATATTTTTTTAGAAACTTCAGATATGATTTCCATAAGGGCTATACTAATTTGCTCTCCCACCAGCAGTGAATAAAGGTTCCTCCTCCTCCGCATCCAACATTTATTTTCAGATTTCTTGATGATAGCCATTCTGACTGGGGTGCAAAGTGGTATCTCAAAGTAGTATTAATTTGACCGGGCATGGTGGCACACACCTTTAATCCTAGCACTTGGGAGGCAGAGGCAGGAGGATCTCTGAGTTCAAAGCCAGCCTGGTCTACATAGAGTTCCAGGTCAGCTGAGGCTACAGAAAGACCCTGTCTCAAAAAGACAGAAAAAAAAAAAGGTTAAAAAAGTAGTATTAATTTACATTTCCCTGACCAGTAGGGATGTTTAGCACTTTTTAAAAATATATATTGGCCATTTGGGTTTCTTTCTTTAAAGGCTGTCTATTCAATTTATTAGCCCATTTGTTGATTGACAGTTTTATTTCCTTGGTGTTTAATTTATTCAGTTCTTTGTAAATTCTAGGCGTTAGCCTCTTGTCTGAAATATAGCTGGCAAGATTTTCTCCCATTCTGTGGGCTGCCTGTGTCCACTGCTGATAGTTGCCTTTGCTGTGCAGAAACTTAATTTCAAGAAGTCCCATCTATTGATACTTGAGACTGGTTCCTGTACTATTGAAGTTCTGTTCAGTATGTTCTTGCCTACCCCAATGTCTTGAAGAGCATTCCTTATGTTTTCATCTAGACGCTTCAGCAGTTCAGGTTTTAAATTAAAGTCTTTGATCCTAGCTTATAATGATAAATGTACATGTGAGTATAGTATATCATTAAGAAAGGAAAACAAGGAAGGGTAATATTAGGTGATGAGGAAGGACAAAACTCAGGTAAAAGACACATGAGTCATGAGTGAGGGTAGAAGCTAATTGTTTCTCTAATTTTAACTCTGCTGTGTTGTTTTCTCTTTTTTTGTGCGGTGAATAAGTGCATTAAAATGAAATTGATAGTGAAAGGACGGGCCGGGCGTGGTGGCGCACGCCTTTGATCCCAGCACTCAGGAGGCAGAGGCAGGTGAATCTCTGTGAGTTCAAGGCAAGCCTGGTCTACATAGTGAGTTCCAGGACAGCTGGGGCTACAGGGAGACCCTGTCTCAAAAAGAACCCCCCCCCCAAAAAAAAAAACCCTAAGCAAAGATCCACAGCTTCAGAATCTTTATTCCAGTGAACTGCATAAAAGTTCCCTGAGATGTATTTTTTAATGTAAGAACTATTTTTTTTGTCTTTTTGAGATAGGGTCTCCTTGTAGCCCAAGCTGTCCTAGAACTCATTATGTACACCAGGCTGGCCTTGAACTCACAGAGATCCACCTGCCTCTGCCTCCCAAGTGCTGGGACTAATAAGAACTATTTTTAATTTACAAGGTATAAACCAGATTTGGCTTGTGGGCTATATTTATTCAGATCCTAACCTCAGCCACCCAGTTAGTCATACACCTTGAACACTCTTAAGAATAAATGTAAAGCTTTAAAACCATAAACATTTGAGACTGGGAATGTACCTCAGTGGGCAGAGTGCTTGCCTAGCTGCACAAAGCTGTGAGTTCAATCCCTAGCACCACATAAACTGTACACAATGTGAAATACCTGTTAATTCCAGCATTATCAGGAGGTAGAATCAGAAGAATCAGAAATTCAGTGTTACCCTCAGCTATATAGGAGTTCAAGGCCAATCTGGGTTATATGAGACCCTGTTTCCAGAGGAAAAAAAAGATTATAAACATTTGAGCAGTTAACATCTTGATTTCTTACAAAAAGTATTTTTGTTTTTTATGTTATAAATTGTTCTTCAAATTTTAGTGATGTGAAACTTTTCTTTCTCCTAGTCATCTGTTTACTTTAAGCATTCTTATGAAGACTGGCTGGAAAACAATGGATTGAGCATCTCCCCCTTTCACATAAGATGGCAAACTGCAGTTTTTAATCGTGCCTTTTACAGTTGGGGACGACGGAAAGCAAGGATGCTTTACCAATGGTACTTTTCATCTCTTTTTGGTGTAAATTAGTCATTGTGATCATCAGAGATAACTTGTTAAATTAACAATTTCTATCAGTTTTTTGATATACTCAGTTTTTAACTATTGACAGAAAAACTGTGTGATCTTATGAATTTTTAAAACTATATTATTGTGCTTTTGCATACATTAGAAACCCTGATAGCTGAGCATAGTAGTAGATAGATGCCTGTCATCCCAGCACTTGGGAGGCAGAGGCAGGAGAATTGAGAGTTCAATGCCATCCTAAATTAGATTATTAGTTTGAGGACAGCCTGAGCTACATGAGACCCTTGTCTCAAACAAACAAACAAAAATAAGACATGGGATTTTATGGTTTTGTATTTCCCATGCTCTTTGGGACAACCAATTCCATAATAGGTTCTTCAGAGAATGTGTGGCCGGGGGATAGTGTAGTCTGAATTCTTTTTTCTTAAAAATAAAGGTCCAAGTGGGCACAGTAGTGCACACCCACAGAATACTAGTACTCAAAAGACTGAGGCCAGAGAATTGAGAAAATGGGGGCAAAGTGGACTATCAGGCAGGCCTAAGGCACATAGTGAGACCTTGTCTCAAAAAAAAAAAAACAAAAAATGGCCACATACATGCACTCCAGATGCCTTTGAGCGAGCTAAATGTAAGCAATTAGATTATCAAAAGCCAGAAAGTATACAGTAGTAAAAACAGGCAAAGCGCTAAAAGTTGGTTCTTTGAAAAGACTAGTAAAATTGATGAATACATCTCTACCATGAAAAAAAAATCAGCATTGAAAAGCTGCTATAGCACATTCTATAAACTCTAAAACAAAAATAAGACTATTACAAACAATAGTACAACTTTCAAGTTTGACAGTTTTTGTGAACTGTATAAGTTCCTTAAAAAACAGACCATATGAGCTGGGTGTGGCGGCATATGCCTTTAATCCCAGCACTTGAGAGGCAGAGGCAGGTGGATCTCTGTGAGTTCTAGGCCAGCTTGACTACATAGTGAGTTCCAGGCCAGCTGGGGGCTACAGGGAGACTCTGTCTCAAAAAGACCCCCCCCAAAACTAGTCCCAACCATAAAAAAGTAATTCTAACTATTAAAACAGTAGAATAATAAAACTATTAGGTTTGACCCTGTTAGTATTTAAATTCATTTATCACAAAGTAGACAGTAGAATAGGTGAAAAATGGACACATGCCACAATGTTAAGAGCATTCCTAACTATATCAGAACAGGATCAAAACAGTGCTGTGTAAATGAGCAAATATGCAAGAGAGGAAACACTGTTTTTGTTTTTGTTTTGAGAAAAGGCTTCACTATTCAGCCCCAACTGACTTGGAACTATGCAGATATGCACACCAGGGTGGCCTCAAAGTCACAGAGATCCACCTGCCTGTGACTCCTCAGTGCTAGGATTAAAGGCACATGCCACCATGCCTGGCCTAACATTTTTTTTTTAAACTGGCAATGATATTCAACTGTTTTTCAGGTCAGAGTATTATGGTTTCTTAAAACTGATTTAAAATACTAGTGCCAGGGCTGGAGAGATGGCTCAGCTGTTAAGAGCACTGACTGCTCTTGCAGAGGACCTAGGTTTGATTCCCAGCACCCACATGGTGGCTACGAACCGTCCTATACTCCAGTTCCAGGGGAACCCGAAGCCCTCTTCTGACCTCCACAACATTGCACAACACAGGTGCACTCACATACATGCAGGCAATACACTCATACATATAAAATAAAAATAATAAAATATTAAAAAATTAGTGCCTGTGAGTCAGTCAACTATTTAAAGTTCAGATAGGGGGCTGGAGAGTTGGTTCAACAGTTAAGAGCACTGGCTGCTTTTGCAGAGGACCCAGGTTGGATTCCCAGCACCACATGGCAGCTAATACCATGTTTGTTAAGGGGAATCCAATGCCACCTTCTGACCTGCACGGGCATTGCATGACATGGGTGCACTTAACACACTTGTGAGCAATACACTCATCTGCATAAAATAAAAATAATAAATAAAATTTTAAAAAATAAAGTTCAGATCGGAAAAAGAGGAGGCATTATTGATCGTTTTGGCCATTGTTTAAACGCCATGGCATGTGGCTGATCAGTTACTTTGTTTGTCCACGCAGTGCGAAGAATTACACATTTACGTCTTCTTCTTCTTGCCAGGTTCAATTTTGGAATGGTGTTTGGCGTATTTGCCATGTTTAGCTCTTTTTTCCTCCTTGGGAGAACACTGATGCAGACTTTGGCACAGATGATGGCAGACTCTCCCTCTTCTTATTCTCCCTCCTCTTCCTCCTCCTCCTCCTCCTCCTCCTCCTCTTCCTCTTCTTCCTCTTCCTCCTCTTCCTCCTCCTCTCTTCATAGTGACCAGGTGTTGCAAGTTGTGGTAAGTACATTCTTTTTGCCTTAAATAATTGCTGAAATGTACATAGAAGATTTTTTTTCTGGCTAGTATAAATACTATCCATACTATAAACATTAAAGTAAAAAGTCTCACAGTTTTTCAAATAACCTGCTTAACCAGTACATAATTAGTAAGAAATGTTGGTGGCAGAGGTAGTACCCATAGCAGAGAACAAATGGACCACTAATAAGACTGGCCATAGTTACACAGATATTCAACTTAATGCTTTTGGCTTCTTAAGATCTGAAATGATTGCTTCTTTGTTAAAATACATCATTTTAATTTATGTGTATGTATACATGTCTCTGTGAGAGTGTGTACAAGTACCTGAAGGTGACAGAAGAGAGGGTCAGATCAAAGCTGCAGTTGTAGGCAATCGTAAGTCAACATGGGCACTGGGGACCGAACTTAGGTTCTCTGGAAGAGCAATAAGTGCTCTTAACCACTGAGCCATGTCTCCAGCCCAAATGATTGTTTCTTACAAGGAGTAAGTATACTGACTTAATATCGCTATAATGTACAAGTAAACTTTTATACTGTTTCTTAATCCTGTGCAGCGCTCCCCTGTCCTTTTCATGGTTTTCAGAATCTAACCAGTAATCTCCTTTTAATTAAAGGTATAATGCTGGAGTTAGGGGGTAAAAGTACAAGGCGTTTCAGAATGATCATTGTGGTTTCTTTGGTTGTTTGAGACAAGGTCTCATCCTATAGCCCAGGCTAGCCTAATACTTCTTATGTAGCCCAAGCTACCCTCAATCTCATGACAATCCTCCTGGCTCAGCCTTCAAGTGCTAACATTTCAGGTATTGGTTTACCAGATTCAGTTTGTGATTTCTTAATGTGAAAATAAAGTGCTGAATTTTGCTTCTTTTACAGTAATTCTCATTTTAAAGCACCATGTATAGGTTCTGTCTTGTCTTTGGGCAGTGTTGGGGATTGTAACTAGGACATCATGCGTGCAAGCCAAGTGCTCTACCTCTGAGCTACACTCCTACAGCCCCTGCTGTTATATCTTATCTTTTCCTGTCTCCAGCGTTTGTAAGAGGGCTTGACATTGGCTCACTTTTACATCACATTTTTTTTGAGATAGGGTCTCATGTAGCCCAGGCTGACCTCAAACCTACTATTATTGCTAGGACTGATCTTGAACTCTGATCCTCCTGACTTTGGCTCCCTAATGCTGGGATTATAAGCATGCATCACCATGTCCAGCTCTTACTTCACATTTTTTTAAAAAACTTTTTGTTTATTTATTCATTTATCTTCAGCAAACATTTCCTGAGTGTGTCTTGCCTACTGGCCATGTGCTGGGTCCCATTCATGTAAGGAACAAAACCCAATCTTCAGACTTATGGAACTTTTAGTCTAGAAAGTGAGATGCTCTGATTGTTCTGTGATTGGGTTTTGTACAAGGTTTTACGGGAACAAACAGAATGCAAGGTGTATCTGGCACTGGGAAGAAAGTAAAGTGAGAAGAGGACAGAAGGATGGAGGGACCCCATGTAGACTGGACAAGACAGTGGGAACTGATGAGAGCAGAGCACATCAGTAATACAGGGAACAGCATGGCCTGAAGAGGCAGAGAAAATCAACAGAGTAATCACAAAGCCTGGATAATAGGCAGCATTTCCTGGGTCAGGTTTCTGTACATGTTTTATTTTGTTTTCCCTGGCTTATGGATGAGAAACCCAAGGCCAAGAGATATGGCGTCATTCGCCTGTGCTCACAGTTTGTAAACAATGGATCTGTCATCAATAACCATAGAGCCTATGCACATTATGTTGTACTCCTCTTACAAAAAGACAAATAAAAACTGGATCTGCTGGTATAGGTCTGTCATCCCAACTACTTGGGAGGTTGAGGCAGGAGGATTGCAAGGTCAAGGCTTGCTTTGACTACAAAGTAAATTCAAAGTCAGCCTGGGCAACTTAATGACAACTGTCCCAAAATAAAAAGTAAAAGAAAGGGTGGGGGCATAACTTTATGATAAAAGATAGAACACTTGGCCAGCATACATTAGGTCCTAGGTTCAGTTTGAGGGCAGAGGAGAGGAAGGAAAAGACAAGAAAGGGAAGAAGGAAGGTTATTAGGTTTGTTCTTCAAGGAAATATAAGTAATTTTGGCCTGACCACTTGAGATATGGGTGGAAAGTCAGGAAGGACAGTATGAGAGGTGGATGATAGGATTGGGGATAGGCATAGGGTCAAGAAAGGCTATTCTAGGAAGTTTTCATTTACCTGTAGATTACAGTTTTGTGCAAAATAAGCGAAAATTAGCTAGACCAAAGATGGGGAGACCATTGAAGATGGAATAAATCATGTTAGAAATGATAAAATTCTAAACTAAATTTATGGCAAAGAGATTGAAATTCCCTGGGAGGCTTCCTGTGCTCCCGTAGATTGTCTTAACAGCCATGCATGTACAGGCAGCACCAAGGGACTCAGTGAGCTGATTCTTCTTAAGAGCATATCATTAATTTTTTTTTAATTAAACTAAAAAAAAAACCCACATGAAGTTAGGAGGGAAAAGTTGTAGGAAGATAGGAACAACCAGGAGGGGAGCGAATGGGAGGTGGATTTGGATTTGATTAAAACTCATTTTATGTTATATATGAAATTCTTTAATTAAAAAAGTGGGGGAGAGAATGAAGGATATATTTTGGAGTAAAGTTCTCTGACGGTGACAGATTAAAAGTGAAGCTGGAGGGATAAGGGAGAGTTTAGGTATTCTCTTTGCTTTTCAGGTTATTCACAGTATTCATGAAAATACAAGGCAAGCCATGCTTTGAAACGATTAAAAAGTCAGCAGTCTACCATGCATATTTGTGTGTAGTTTCAAGAATGCTGTATCTTCTGTCTTTCTATAAACCCTTGTAGCTTAAGGAACAGATTTTTTGTTTACTTTCTAATTCCCTACAGCCTTGTTCATTATTAATTCCCACAACCCTGGCACTCTTGTGTTGTTGAAAGAGTATTCCATGTTCAGTATTCTGGTACATCTAATACCCTGTGTGATCATGTCAGAAACAGATGGGCAATCCTGTACTGTTGCCAGCAAATAAGACCTACCATCTGTTGGTACAGTCAAACACATACTCACATGCTCACCTTAGCTTACTCGTTGCTATATTCAGAAGATAATGAAGAGAAGGAACAAATACCCTGTTGGAGAAAACGTAGTGATTTCTTTGAAATAAAGGCAAGATGTGCTTTGGTATAGGTTATTTTGTGAGATGCGTGGTATGGATGAGAATTAATCTTAAGGGAGTAGGTTTAAAGAGGGTTCAGAGAGAGGAAAACTCCCAAGCTGAATAGATAGATGCACTACAACATAGGAATGGAGAAATTATATATAAAAGGGACACTGATAGTTATGGAAAAACATGTTGCTTAATGGGTTCTGAATAAGGCAAATTCCAGATAGCAAGATATTACACACACATGAAGAGTGATGATTTTGAAAACTAGTTTCATAATAAGAGAATGGACAGTTGGGATCAGTGGAATTTAGAAAACGAGCAGGCCACATTGTGTGAGTCCCTATGTGAGTCCAAGAAAAGGCTTAAGAGATGAAAACTTTAAATAATAAAAGACCTTGAAAGAAAAATAAATCCTGTTATTATATGAACATAGAATGAGGAACACAGAAAATTTAACACCATAAATAGGAACTTTTTATATAATAGTATCACCTTTGTTCTTATTTTCAATTTTTAAAGATGATATTTTTGCCAGGTGTAATGGCACATGCCTTTAATCCTAGTACTCTGGAAGCAGAGGCAGGTGGATCTCTAGAGCGCAAGTCCAGCCTGGTCTACATCTCAAGTTCCAGCCCAGCTGGGGATACAGGTAGACTGCGTCTCAAAAAAAAAAAAAAGGAAAATTTTAGGGCAGTTTAACAGCATTGAGAAGGAAGTGCAAAGGTTTCCTGTGTACTTCCCACACATAGTTACCCCCACCAGACTGGTCTATTTGTTACAGTTGGTAAACCTAACCTTATCACCCAGAGACCATGGTTTACATGTAGATTCACTCTTGGTGTTTGAGGAAATGATGACTATCGATAGATTTGACTATTTAAGGTTTTCTTTTTTAATATCAAAAACTAAAAACTATGCCAGGTAAGGTGGTGCATACCTTTAATCCCAGTATTCGGGAGGCAGATGCAGACAGATCTCTGTGAGATTGAGGCCAACCTGGTCTACGTAGTTCCAGACCAGCTGGGGCTATGGGAAGACCCTGTCTCCAAAAAAGAAAAAACCCTAAAATTAAAAAAAATGTAATAAGATTATTCAACAAACAAACTAGGGAAATACATGTGTGACATGTATCACAAAAGGCCGATACTAATATTTGGTGTAATCTTAATATATCAGTAAAAAATAATGAATACAGCAAGCATGGTAGTGCATGCCTATAATCCCAGCACTGAGGAGGCTGAGGCCGGAGGATCACCATATGTTCAAAGACAGCCTGGTCTACCTACTGAGTTCCATGCCATTCTGTCTCAAAAAACAACAAAAATGTGAAAGCATCAGGAGAAAAGCAGTCACATCATGTATAGGCACATCAAGTTACAGATTTGCATAAAATGAGCTTGCCTAAGACTATAGAACAGTATGTTTCAGAGAACAGCTTGATATATGTAGATATCAAAATCCTTTAGAAGCATTTATTACCTCTTCTGAGGCATAGTGTTAAGCATTGGGCAAAGAGATTGGTTCATTTCATCCTCAAGATGACTGTTTGATGCATTTATGGAAGTGTGGGAAAAATAATATGCCGGCTTCCTCAAGGTCGTTTAGCTAGTTGATGACAGAGCCAGTCAGGACCTCTAATAATAACTTACCTAAGAATTTATCCCCCAAATATTAGGGCATATGTATGCAAAGATCTTTATCATAAGAGCAGAAACTTCTGAAGTGGGGAGATCAGTAGATTGCTTTCACTTGTCGTGAAAGCAAGAGGATCTGAATTCAAATCCTCAGCACCCATGTAAAAAGCCAGGCATTTTCGAACATTTCTATAACCCCGGTTGTTTTGTGTAGAGACAAGCAGATCCCTGGAGCCCACTTGCCAGCCAGCCTAGCTGAAATGGTGAGCACGAGACCGTGTCTCAAATGATAAGGTGGTAGACAGGGGCTGGTAAGATGTCTTGGTAGATATGGGTGCTTGCTGCCAAGGCTAACAACCTGAGTTTGATCCCCAGGACCCACATGGTGGAAGGAGAGAAATGACTCCCTCAGATTGTCCTCTGATCACCACAGATGTGCCATGGCATGCTTGTGCCCATACACATACAATGATAAATAAGCAAACAGATAACAGTGGAGAGCAATAGAAGAAGGCACCTGATGTCCTCCTCTGGCCTCTGCATGTGCACCTGCAAATACACAAAAGTTCACCCTTGAGAATACAGTATTCAAGTAACAAAAAAATCATAAAAAATTAGAAGAAACTTCTAAAATAGTTAGATGTCCAACAATCCATTGCATAAAATATAATGCAGTTATTAACCATATCAGGCTAGGCAGAGTGGTACACACCTATAATCCCCACATCCAACAGACAGATTGATAAGAAAGAAAGAAAGAAAGAAAGAAAGAAAGAAAGAAAGAAAGAAAGAGAGAAAGAAAGAGAGAAAGAGAGAGAGAGAGAAGGAAGGAAGGAAAGAAGGAAGGAAGGAAGGAAGGGAGGGAGGGAAGGGAGGGAAAGAAGGGAGGGAGGGAAGGAAGGAAGGAAGGAAGGAAGGAAGGAAGGAAGGAGAGTCTGTTGAAAAAAAAAAGACAAGAAAAATAAGCAGAACTAGAAAACACTCATGAAGAGATGCTACATCCTATTAGTCAAAATGTCCTTGGGCCTGTTAGCAATGTACTCTGTTCCAAGGCCAAAAAAGTATTCAGGAGCTTGTATCTAATCCTTAAAAGATTTTAGGGTTACCTCTTCGGAGAGGGGAATGTTGGAGGGGAGGGAGTGGGCATGGATTTGATCAAAACACCTTATATGCATGTATGAAATTCTCAATAAAGTTTTTGTAAAAATTAAAAAAAGAAATGCTAGAAAAAGATATCTATGAAAAATCAGATTTTGAGGGACTGTAGAGATGGCTCAGTGGTTAAGAGCACTGAGTGCTCTTGCAGAGGAACCCAGGTTCGAATCGAAGCACCCACATGGTGGCTAACAGCCGTCTGTAACTCCAGTTCCAAGGGACCTGATGCCCTCTTCCTAATTTCTGCAGGCACCTACTTACATGCAGGCATTACATTCATACACATAAAATAAAAATAATAAAATATTTTTTAAATCTGATTTTTGAATCATTTATAATAACAGTATAATTTTTTCATTTACAAAATGTTTATTGAGTAGGTATTATAAATTATGAGCTAGACACTTCGTACTATTTGCACTAATTGGTGTAAGATATAGAATTGGGGTAGTTTTGTCATTTAAATGAAGAGGCATATGTTAACAACTGTCACTGCTTTTTGTTTCTGTATCACACAAAAAAATGCATAAAATAAGAACTAAACACTTGAGTGAAAAGATAAAGAAAAATTGCCAGAGAAGTTCAGAGGAAATTTTATTTTGTATTTGCTATTACATATTTGGAGCAGCTATTACATCTATAGGAATCAAAAACAGAGTCCTTAAAAGAATATTTCTGGATGCATAGGTTTTAAGTAGACAGAAATTAAGGCACCATCCTATAAAGACATTGGTTCTTACTAATCTTTTAGGCCTGGGAAAATTTTGAGTATTAGCTCTAGAGGCAGTATAATTTTTTTTTGTCTTTTTGAGACAGGGTCTCCCTGTAGC